TAGCATGATGTTGGCAAAAGAAGAAATTTATATAACCATGTGGATGGCAAGTCCTTTGAAATTACACTTCCCTACATTTTCCAGGGTAATTATTCTGCCTCTGCTAAATCTCCAGGCAGAACTATCCAGGAATTAATATTCCTTTGCCTTTGCCTTTGTACTGTGAAAGACAATATTTAGGTCCTTCCTGAGGGAGGAAAAAAAATTGTAATGGAGACCAGAGCAAAATAAAACCTCCCACAGATTCCGATGGAACAGCCTCCCAGAATCTCTCACATCGTGTTAGCAGGTTTTCTTTAACTGTTTGTTTGAGCCCCTGGAGTCCAGGATGGATCTGTGATTCTGGGAAATGCCTTCCCCCCGTGTGGGAACATTCTTGTAGCACTGAGGGTTTGCAGAGCCAGCATGTCTTCAGCTTCTCCTTTCAAAGACAACAGTGAAAGCTTTGCATTTGGAGCCTCATTTGTGCCTTGCTCTCAGTACAAACTGAAAGTGGCTACAGGCTGAACGTGAATAAATGATTTACCTCATCCAGCCCTGCCTGGCTTTCTGAGAGCAGGGTGTTAATCTGGAGAGACACATGTTAATTTGTGTGTGTGTGCCCAGCAAGGAGGGAGGGCATGCACGGAGAAAGATGGGGAAAATAGATATATAGTTATACATATAACGATGCTGAGCTATTTAAAATAACAGGGGGAAATGAGAATAAAAAAATACAACGCAAAGTAATTGTGTTGGCTAAATCAGAAATTATTTGATGCCTGAGAATTCTGAGCTCTTCTGGGATCTCTTCTGCTACAGTGGAGATTTAACACCTGTATGGGAAGCAGAAGAGCCCTTAAGAGGCCTCCTCTGTGCACTGTACTAAGACTAAAGATATATATTACAACTAGACATATGCATCAGATATTCAGAATCTCCAGCTATTTCACTTGTGTTGCTGATATTGCAATGAAATTATATTTTATTACAGTTGACTTTGTAGCTGTTTTCCAAAAAAGGGCAGGATTGTTCGGGTCACATCATTGCAATGACACACCAGGCTTGACTTTTGCAACAATGAACTGAAACAGACTTTTTAAAACATTGATTTTATATGAAAAAATAGCTCACACCAATTCATTTATCATAATCACATTTCATTAACAGTAGAATTAACAAAATCACAATATACATTTATAGTATGTATTTATTTATATATGTCACTTTGTATGAACCATTAACTCTATGTAATAAAAATATATTACAACATTTGATATGTATTCACAAAGCACAAGCTGTTGTAAACAGAATAGACAGCACAGGCCCCTTTATTCAAAACTTGAACTTGGAAGTAATTTTTTTTTTTTTTGCATTCCTTTAAACTGCAGACACAGAGAATTTTATGTGTCTGCCTTTAAATGAATGAATGACTGAAGTATCTTTTAGGAGATTATTACAGTTTAGCTTATCTGGGACACCAAAATCCATGGTAACTCATGAGACTCTTGAGCATGTTGTCATTACAAAGAGGTCTGTGCATCCCTTTATCCATGCAATTTAGAAAGGTTTAATTTATATTACCATTTCCCCCTAAATAAATATCCCCTGCAATTACATCCCACTGTTATACAAAAAAAAAGTCAAATGCAATAAATTATAATGGTATTTATAATAGTATAATCAAAACATGCCCTATCTACAGCAGGTATTATTAATGTTATTTCCTAACTATCTTCCTTCAGACTGGCTAGGTGCTTTTAGAAATAGGAAACAAACTGTTTTCAATATTTGCAAAATAAAATACTTTAAATACACAGACTGGACATTTTATACTTCTCGTGGTATGAATGGTCCTTACTCAGCCAAGGAACCCCACTCTCCTTGCAGCAAGGAGTTGTAAAACCAGCTCCTAACATCTTGTTTTTAGAACAAGTGATCATCTAATAATCTAACGTAGGGGCAAATGTTTAAGTCCAACTGCACCTGGAAAGACTGGTAATACATTACATTCCTGCAAGAATTCAGAAGGGAATGATTAGTGATTGCCAAATACATGAATTTTTATCCTAAAATAATCTTAAGAAAACAAAAACACTGTGAAAAAAATTCTGAGGTTTAGAAAAATGCCCTGTGTACAAATAAAGGTAAATCAAGGCACCTCTTAGTTATCTATTTCTATTTTCCAAGGCAATCTGTGATAATAGTTTTCAAATGTCTATCTGGGAAGCCCTGTGGTTTCTGCTATAAAAAGATCCATTCTTTATTCTGGCTGATGCAGGTGGCTTTGTTTTACTTGAATGAGGCTGAGCTGGATGACAGAGCACAGAGAACTCGTCCCCAGCCTTGTCACATGTTTACTGTGTGATCCTAAGGACAATGAGTATTTAACTGATTTTTTTTCTAACAGAAGTCATTCAATTAATGAGGTTTCTTTATTTCTTTTTTAACTCTGTTGCTTATTGATCCCATTAGCAAAGAAGGAGAAGGAGAATTTGCCTGTCTTTACATAAGGGTTTCGTAGTCAGAAGGGAGTGTAAAACCCTTTGATATTCAACAGGGCTTTTTAAAATTTTTGTTCAAGAATTCAAAGCAGTGCAAGTGCAACAGGACTGAACAGAACCTCCTGAGACAGGCAGCAAGAGGAAATCTGCAGCCAGCTTTGCACCTGGACCCTGCTGCATTCCCACTGATATCTGAGCAGGATGCTCTGGCATTTCATTCAAAAGCACTGCTTTTCTGTTTCCTTAGGGACTCTTGCTGGATCCAAAATCCAAGAGGATGGAGGTTTTTGACTTTTTGCTCTTTGTATGAGTTTTAAGAAAGGTTTTCTTTAAAGCTCTGATTGTACAGCTACAGTGACTGGAACAAGGAAGATGGAGAGGGACTTTTTAGAACAGCATGGAGGGGCAGGACAAGGGGGAATGGCTTCCCACTGCCAGAGGGCAGGGTTAGATTGAATATTAGGAAATAAATTCTTCCCTGTGAGGGTGGGGAGGCCCTGGCACAGGTTGCCCAGAGAAGCTGTGGCTGCCCCATCCCTGGAAGTGTCCAAGGCCAGGTTGGATGGGGCTTGGAGCAACCTGGGCTGGTGAAAGTTGTCCCTGCCCATGGCAGGGGGTGGAATGAGATCGTCTTTAATGTCCCTTCCAACCCAAACCATTCTAGGATTCAGTAACAACTCCAAATAGAGATCCTTTTCCTAACATGTCTTTGTAGATTATTAATCAGCCATATGGACTTGTGCCTTTGGGTGCATTGAAACCATGTGCAATAGTATTTCTTGAACAAAAAAATAGTATTTAACTACACAATTGCCACCCATTCATGCTGTCACACACCTGATGCATCTTTTTCTTGGCACATACATTTCTGAAGTGCACTTACATTCTCTAGGGCAAATCATCCTTCTTATAAATATAGACATATGTGAGAAACTATAGCAACCTCTCCAGTTCATTAGATCAGCATTATTTGCTTAGGAACCAACAATCCTAATTACATATTTACACGATACACATCAGAATTACAGGTAAGAAGAAGACATTTGACAAAGACTGCAGCAGCTCTTTTCTCCATGTAAACTTTTATGCCCCCCCCCAAGAGGGACAGCTACCTTTTGGAGCAGGGTGGTTTTCCTTAAGAAGCTTCACCCATCAAAGATTTTTTTATATACTGAATGCTGAAAGAATACAAAGAAAATAAAATAAAAAAAAAAACAAAACAAAACAGATTTAAGGCTACAATGTTATTGTTCTCATTTGTTCAGCTTTGGGAAGGTTACAAAGGTATAATCCCTGATTCTGCAAACACATAAGCCTGTGCTCAGCCCTCACTATCCAACACCGTGAACACAGAGTGAGCATGGGATCAGGATTTAACTGAGTTTTCTGTGCTGAAGTATATTGTGATTTTAGGGTAAAGTAACAAGTCTCTGCTTTTGAGCTTTCTTTAGTGACAAGAACACTGAACGTGGGGAGAAGCCCACTGCAGCCAGGGGAACACATGTTATTTAAGCAGCAGCAAAGCCAGTTTGTAGCTCCCAACCTACGTGGCCCTTAGCCTACCACTCACATCTATCTCTTCCTCAGTTTTGTAACCTCTTAAAGGTGTTCTGATGCAGCTGTTTCTTGAAGCTAAGTCTGAAAGGTCTTCCAAAAATTATTTTTAAAAAATATCTTCCAGGAAGATTTTACTGTTGCCCTGAAGCAGATTTATATTCACCTAATGGGACCAAATCCTCAGGTGAAACCAACTATTATGTTGATTTATGTCAGGAAAGAATTTGGTACTTATTAATTATTCAATAATTATCAGTTTGTCATAGTTTTTTGCCAAATGTAGTTACCCAGATCTTCACATTCACACTGGCTCAAAACTATCACATAGACCATGATCCTAGTTCACAGTTAGGGCTCTGAAGTTATATAAATTACTCTAAAATAAACAAAAGGAAAAGCTCAGAATCCACAAAATGACATAGTGGACTAAGTTCTCTTACTCATCTGCCAGTGTTCTGCCTGCCAAATTTACAAGATATGAAAAAATTGTTAATTGAACATGCACGTGAGGAATAGATATTGCATATGGGACACAGATACCAACAAACAGAAAACTGCATATTGCCTAAGCAGCTGCCCAGTTTTGCACATGCAGTTCCAGATTTTGGGCACACATTGCAGCCGTACTTTACAAACATTTTCCAAAAATATTTAAATAACAAATGGAAATTCCCCTTCTCCCCCTCCCCCCGCACACACACGTGTGTTTGACAAGAGAACATCTCTGCTTCATGAGCAGAGGTCATAAATACTGTGCATTACATTTACCATCATTATTCTAACTGGCTCGAGTCAAAGTGTTGTATAGTACATATAATACTCAGCAGACAGTTACTTATATCTACATTCATCACTTAGACATACATTTTAGAAAATTCTGCCAGTTGCCTATAAGAATTCAGCTGAATATCTAGCACTTAACAAGCCACAGTATCATATTTCTAGTATCTTATAAAATGCCATCAGGGCATCACTTTTATTTTGTGTACTGAGGCAGTTTGTCAAGCACCAGCATTTACAACTCTCGCTTGCTTCAGGTGGTGGAAATATGACAGTGTGTCGGAGAGCTGATGCAAGGAAGGGGAAATTATATCTATTCTCTGGTATAAGATTAATTACAGAAGAAAGGCACCATGAAAGAAAGACAAATTTTTAAACATATACAAGTGGAGAGATTTATTGCTCATGGTGACACGTAAATCAACCGGTGACTGACTGTGATGCACAAGCATAATGAGACAAGTCCAATGCTGTATTTTTCTCTGTCTTTTAATAGATATCCTAAATGTAGAATAGTTGGGGGTTTTTCCTAGGAAATTATCTTACTCTCTTTAAATTTGAAATTTTAAATCCTTCTGGAGTTAACCTTATCAACATACAAACCTCCCACTGACTTTGGCAACAGGGCCCATGTATAAGTTAACAGCAGTTGTGGACCTTGACAACCATCCTGGGGCAATTTAGTAAAAGTGATCTTAGCAAAACACATAATGAATCGATATAAAGCGTTTTATCTTTTTTAAACTCATGTTTTCCGATACACTCCAGTCATCAAAATGACTTGAATTTCTTAAGAAACAAGTATTAAGCTGGGTGTCTTTATCTATTGCACCTGAGAAAATTATGTTAAGCCTAAGAAAGAAAATAATTAAGATGAGGTAGACTATTTAATCTGGCTGAGGGCTAATTTGAATGCAGTGTTGTAAGAACTTAAAATCTTTGATTATAATAGTGTGTCGATTTTATTGTAATTGTGTTATTTTTATAGCTGAATAGTAATTAAGCTAAAAATTTTTATTTACGTGGCTCTTTATGATCTTCATCATATAAATTCTTCCATTGACAGAGCAGATGACTATGTAAATTCACAGATTAACGTGGTTCCTTGCAGCTGTAGCCCATGCCAGGGCGAGGGCTAAGTCAAGGCTCTCCAGATTGATAACAGAGGTGGTACCCCACATTCACCAGCTTTGGGGTGAAGCCCCTCACTGAGTTCCCTGTCTGGGCTTTGAATCAGAGGCCAGAAAATTCAACAGTGGGTATTTTTTGCAACTTATCGAGCCCTTTTCTGGGATGACAGTAGGTGTTAACTAAAAAGTAATCCCTCATTTTTATGACGTGGGCTCTTATTTTCTCAATATGATCCCGGCTGTGTTTTCTCAGTATGGGATTGACAGTAGGAATATGAGCAAGGGGAGGTGGTAGCACAGCCAGCTGTGTCAGCTGTTATTTAAACTGCCATTGCATACATGAAGCCTAATTAACCAAGGCTATTCTAAATCTAGGCATGCATCTGAAGGCATGGGAAATGTTAATAATGTCCCTATGCATAACTGCAATCTAGAGCTGTAAAAATTTGGACTGAAATCTCCTGAGGTCCAGATTATTGGCCCCACTTTCATGGTGGAGTGGAGGCCTATTATTTTTCCTCCACTTGCTTTGAAAATTATACTTTAAATTCAGATTTAGGTTCATCTTTCCTTTAAGTAGTAAAAAAACTATGATTAATAACTCCTCAGGAAAAGGATTTTTTTTTTTTCTCCTGGGCACAGGGCCCAGTTCTGCAGATTTGGGCAAAATTCAGTTCTTTATAGCTCAGATATATGGAATTAGGCAGGAGGTATCCTGACCTTTCCACTCTGTCTACCTTATGAATTTTTCTAAAATCCAAGGGGGAGAAAATTAGTGGGATTTTGTGTAAACTCCCTTAAAATTTAGAGTAGATATGGCTGAATCCACCCTGTAGCATACTTCAAAAGTGGTTTTTCTTAAATTCTACAGGATTGTTCCAAAAAATATATATATATGAAAAGGCTGAAAGCTGTGTTGGGCGCTGGACTAATATTTAGATAAGGATTTTTATTTTTTTTTAAGCTTTTTCCATTAAGTTTTTTTTCTATACACATCCTTCTCAAGCAACTAGGCTGGGGTGGGTTTTGTAAAGCCATGTTGGCAGCTACATCAGGGGGAGCTTTAACTGCAGCCAGTGAAAAACACAGCACAAACACCCCTGTGCAGCTCTTTAGAATAATCTTATGATGACACCAGTTTGCTCCCATTCCTTTCATGAGCCCTTCTGCTGAGGACTAGCTTTTTATCTATGGATGCAACTGCTGATGGAAATCAATGGGAGATTTGTATTTATGAAGCCTGCAGGACCACAGATCAATAGTGCTCTTCCAGTCAGAGGCAGGAGGTCCAAAGCAGCCTGACTCCCTAAGGTGTTAGCGTGGGCTGCTGGAGGGACATGGGCTGGCACTGACCCTGTCCATGACTGCCTCCCAAAACCTGGACAGCTGAGGAGAGCTACTAGGGATAGGCCATTGAGTTTTGTTCCACATATATCATGTTTTATGTCTTTTAGGTCCCATACCAGGCTCCTCACTCGTTCAGCTGCGATATATTCGGGTTGTGCGACTCGCTCGTGAGGGCGGAGGAGTTGATGGAGCTCCTCTTGAGGACCTTGTTTATGATGTCCTTCCACGTCTTCTTGTACTGATGCCGGAGCAAAGAGTACACAAAAGGGTCTGAAACAGCTTTGCTGTAAGCCAAGCACTTGGAAATGATTCCCCAGTGGGAACTGATGTGGACCACGGAGGATAATTCAACAAGTCTGCGGAAAGAGGGAGGTAGGAAGAGTGAACATTCACATTAAAAACCCAGAGCAACAGCACAACTGAAAGACATTAACCCTCCCCCAAACCCCTCAAGTTATTCCTGGGCAATCACAGCAAAACAAAAAACAAGACATACTCATGAAAACATGAATGTTGTCCTCCTCTTATGAATTTTTAAGACTGCAAATGTAAACTTGAGGTCTGTTGGCCAAAGTGCTACTGCTTGGTCTCATGGAAGTCTTATTTCTCTACCATTATCAATCTAAAAATCCAGCATCTAGTCTGAATTTGTGGTTCTAGGTCCCCTTGAGGACATCTGGGAAGCCACTCACTAGTGCTATCCAGCTTTCTATCCAACTTCTAGAGAGAGTTCAATGCTTTTAAACAGTTTGCCTGAGTTGCAGAAGCACACTAGGAAGGAAAATCCATCATCAAGAGATGGCATATTATATCTTGAATTTAAAAACTGAACAGCTTAAAGGCCAAGTATATACATTTGCAACAAATCTAGCAAGATAAAACTTTTAAATTATTAGGGGAGGGAAGAGTTTCATATACTCCTCATACCTAAACGAGCACAGAGAGTTCACTGCGTGCCCAGGGAGAGTATTTCTGACAGTGAAATATTGATAACTCCCCATGTCTTTGAGCAAGACCAAAGGGCAGTTCTATTCAATATGCCTCTATAGCTGTTAGAAACTATTGATTTTCATAGAGGACAAACAGCTACGTGTGCTGCTAGAGAGCCCCACCAGGCCACAGCAAACAAGATCTTTACTGAAACTGTCTTCAGCAGCAGATGTTCTTAAAACTGTCTGGAAAATACTTTGATTACTCATGTTTATTCAGACAAAGCACCAGTTCCAAGGAGCATTCTGAAGCATGGTTCCTGCAGCAGCAATGACAATAATGTTGGCACTTTTTAGAGATGAGGATTTTTTTTCCCCTCAGTCGTTTTATTCTCATTCCAAAAACTTTCGCTACATTGTGTTGTTTAAAATAATGCTGGCAGATGGCACAGTCCAGTCATTTGAGCATGAAAGTGGGACTAAGGAGCCTTAATTTTTTACAGCACTATGACCTTCTGTCTCTCTCTGTTTACCCAAGCTGCAAAGCTCCACGGCAGAAGCTCTGTCTCTTCCTAGATGTGTGTGCTGGGCTCAGCAGCTCTGAGGTCCCAAAGAACCTCAGATCTGAGATTCTGTCCCATTCCTCTCTCCTTTCATCTCAGCTAAACAAATGTTACTATTTCCACCTCCCCTTCTAACTTGTGGCCATTACTTTTCTTACAAAGTAGAATGAGGGCTGAGACATAATTATCATCAAGTCCAGCTGCTGGGTGGTCTCATCTGGTGTATTCTCTCTTGTTTAATAAAATGGAGCTTTTGACATCCAAATGAATGTGTTCTAAAATGAGAACTGACAATTCGGAAATTAGTCAACTCCTGAGTCATATTTACATTGTAATCTACCATGATCCATCCTTCTTGTTGTTCTCCACTCCATTTATTTGATGCCTACTTCACATTTTGAATTTCATCATGTTGAATTTCATCTGGATGATTCATTTTTACTGAGTGCTTTACAGATGTGAATTTGATTATGTTTAATTAAATTCAGTGGATGCCTTGAATAACCAAAATGTGACAGATTTGTGTCTGAGGCTCTGTCAATCAGTTCTATGAAACATTAACAAGCTCCATTTAAAGCACATCAGATAGACACTTCAGGGTTGCAAGCCTAGACTTGCTAATTTTACCTTCATTGACTGATCAAATGAAAAGCCTACACTTTTATTAAAAAGACTTTAAATATTTTCTTTGATTGACTTCTGTAAGTTTCCTTGACATTTACACATTTTTCAATTCTCATGTGTTATTTTTTATAGTAAATTACATTTGCAGTAATCAAGCAGCAAACATAGAAATGCAGCCAAACCCCAAGCTCTGCATTTCCATTTCATGTACAATTAAATGTCAGCCTTTCAAGGCATATCAAATATTTTATTGACTTTGAAAGGCTTTGTTTCTCATTTACGAGGGAAATTATATGCATAGCTTCAATTTTCATGAAATGTTTCGGCCAAAAAGAAGACATTTTCAGTGAAGGAATATTAATATTTCAGTGCTACCTGTAAATTAAATTTTACAGCATCAGCTACATAATTCCCTATCTCGCTTTCATAAACCACTCTTCTACTGTTGGATCTTCAAAACCTTTTTATTTCAGAGCTATAAGCTCTTTTGCTATGATACCTTGTTCACATTTTAGAAACTTCAGTTCTGCAGAGTGTGTAGTGTCATGCGGTTATCCAATTGTTTCATTTCACTTTCGGTAAACAAATGAGAATGGGATGTTGAAGAGTATGACCTTGATCTCTATGCACATAATACTGGAAATCCTTTATTTACATGTGCAGTTAATCACTACACTAATATATATTTACTGAACATGTGTACACCCAGATGGAAGGCTGAATAAATGACAACATCTCTGTCGAGCATTGCTTAAACCTGGGGCTTTAACTGAGTTATGGAAACAAGTTGAAATGTCTTGCTGTTCAGAAGTGAAAGCAAACTGGCACTGAAGGCTGGAGCTGGTGGATGATGCAGCTCTTACAGAAGAAATTCAACACCTTCCCCAAGAATTTGTACGAGCTCTTTGAGGTAACATTTCTGTTTGTGCCTAATTCTGATTTTTTTTTTCCCCCATACAATTCCCATGGTACCAGAATTATACATTGTTTTTTATCTTGGTGTTAATCATTTGAATAAGCTGATCATCCCTGGAAGTGTCCAAGGCCAGGTTGGACGGGGCTCGGAGCAACCTGGGCTAGTGGAAGGTGTCCCTGCCCATGGCAGGGGGTGGAATGAGATGGTCTTTAAGGCCCCTTCCAACCCAAAACATTCTATTATTCTATGATCAGTTTTATCTTGATGTTCATCTGAACTTATTTTCACTTTATTGCCTGATGGACTGAATCCTTTCTGTGATGACTTGCTGATGAAAAAGCCCTATTTTAATAACTTCTTCTCTGTACAAAAATGGCATCACAGTCATCCTTAGCAGATTTATCCTCAGCCAGCTTTGCCTCTTAAGTAGTGCATGCATGGCAACCAGAGAGGTTCTGTAAGGAAACAGAGTTTGGGACTTGTAGTTAGACCTGCAAATCTTGCAAACCATTGCTTTCAGTCACAGCTGTTCCCCAGAGCTGCAGGAATCATTTGCCAGCAGCGCAGGGGTACAAGGAGAGCAAACAGGATTGTCTGGCTCGTACCAAAAGCTCCCATTTTTCCACATGGAGACTAGAAGGCCACTTCAAATACGTCAACCTATGACTGCCTAGGAAATTCATGCATTTATGTGCACAAATAGGCAAGAATACAAGTTGCAGAGGAATTCTGAACTTCTTGTCTCCCAGGCAGGATCTACATATGCAGAGGGTAAGCAATCAGTTTAGAAACAGAGTTTATTTACCACTTGTCCCCCAGAGATGATACAAGAGAATTTTAATCTTCTTCTGCCTGTTCCATCATCCTCCTATTTAACCTGAGGGCTTGGGTCTATGAACTTCTGTCTGATATTACTTCAGGATTTTTAATTTAAGGCCAATTTCCTCACACACTGACAGCACTTATTAACTTACATGAACAAAGTTCTGTATTTCAGTATAAAATGCCTGGAGTTGGAAATGAATATTAGAAACTGGTAAGACTTATCTTCATTTTTCTTATGAAAAAGATCCTTGGAGAAAAGAGGCTTGGAACAATGTTATTTAATTGCATAATGTTAAATATAGCAAAAGAAGAGATGTGTACTCATCGAAGAACCAAGAAACAAGCTATGCCTAGAAATATATAATATGGGGTAATACATCTGTCATACTGATGGAGTGGAAACACTGAATCAAGAAGAATCAGATTCTACTGATACACTACTTAAGGTCATCTCTTGAACTAGTTAGGATGATGCCTACTTCATAAAAGAAGTGCCTAATCAGATTTTTACCTTAATGTGGTCTGAAAAACTCTGTTTCATCCAGAGAGGCATTTATCTGTCTGGGATTATAAGCACAACTCCTTCGCTGGTTCATGGAACTTCTAGTGACACCTATTTAATTTTAGTGTTGAAAAAGAAAGATGTTATAGCAAAGCCTTGTGATTTGCTGCTTTCAGCCTCCAATTCAGGGAGTACTGAAGAGCATGTTTAATTTAAGTGTATTGCTGATTAGAGCTGACTGACCAAATGAGAGGCTGAGCAACACACTCCCTCCTCTGCCTGCTGTTCCCTGCCTTGAACTGGGATTGATTGCCTCTCTCCTGTAAATGCAAAGTGCTGGACACAGCCCAGAAAATACTACTTGCTTGCAAAATTAAACTCAAAAGTCTCCTTATCCCCTTGACTTCAAGACCCTGAGCCCCATGTGCGAGGCAGAGGGAAGCACAGTGATGTGTGTCCATGCAAGTGTCCAGCAAGGTCTCCCAAGCAGCTGAAGAGGGAATTCCCCTTGGCATGCAGTGCTCTGTTCCCCCTAGACATGTCAGAACTGAAAAGACCAGGAATGTGAGAGACTTCAACACCCCTGATACACCTGGCCAGGTCCCAGGGTGCATCTTCGTGCTTGCAGGACACCGCATTTTGACTCTTCTCATCATCACTGTCTTTTATGGATCTTGTGTGGGCTAAAGAGAGGAGGCTCAGGATTTTTCTAACCCTTTTTCTGTATCTTAAGGCCACTGGGACACAACCTGGGACACCACAGGGTGAGGAAGAGGTGGGGAGGTGGTGCCCGAATGCTGAGCTGAGATGCACAAAAATACTTGTGACAGTTCAAGTTGGAGCTCTTGGGACTGAGCCACCAGCTATTGTGTGACTGTGGTGATTTTCATTAAGATCAGACACTCACCATAAAATAAAAAATAACCATTTGCAACGAGATAAATAGTTTAATGTATTATAGCTTGAGATCTAAGGCTAAATGTTCATAATTACAAATCTCTTTATACCATTTAACTATGTGGCTTGGAATGGTGTCTTGTGACCACTAACTGAAAGGGAAGGTGATTCTAGTTACTTTTATTTTCTAATTCTAAAAAATCAGGACATTATACTGAAATGGAAAAACTCAGGGTTTGCTCCATGTCCACTTATATTGACTCTTAATCTAGCTTTTTCAGTGATTTTTTTATGTTAGATCTGAGTTAAACTGAAGTCAGCCCCACTAATTTCTACTTAATAGTATTGGAATAGGAGACACTTTAAAAATATTTTTTTTCTTTCTCTGCTCTGCATAGCAGCATCTCAGTTTTTCCAGTCTTTTGATAAGGAATGCAAGCTATAAATTTCCTTCAACAGCTAGATAAAATTTTTCTGGATATACTCACTTTCTAATACTTTATATTTCATAGGAGTAATTTAGTGTTTCCCGCAGGAGCCATTTCCAAAGATAAGCTAGTAGATAGATAGACATCTGATCATAAATCACAAGCAATTTTTTTGTTATGAGCCAGCACAGCTTTGATATTTGATGTTTATGACTAATAAACTCTATCCAGCCAGAAAAAACTATGGTTTAAGTCTTGGGACCCTGTTCTCACCTCAGCTGGATCTTGTTGACCAAATTTTTACAGTCTGACCTGTTCAGGCAAGTGTCTTCCCCTGAACCCGGGAGGCAGTCCAGGCAGTAGGTGACTACTTGACCCCCAAAAAAGTCTGCAGAATTGTTTGGGCTGACTTTCTAAATCACTCCCATGTGACCAGCACACTGGCTGGGCTGTCTGAGCAGAGTCTGATCAGAATCCTGCATCAGGATTGAACTGGATAAGCACTATGACATTTCACATCATTTGTTAGCTCAGCAAATGCAATCTCTGTTATAGGATTGGAAACAGTACATCAAATTTTCACAGGAAACAGAATAATTTTGTGGCTCAGAGGGCCCTACTTCTCTGATTTACAATTGCATCTCAGGAATCTTTTCCAGGATGTAGGTTCACACTTACCTTGTAATTACATAAGGTGCAAAACAAAGTATGAAGGTACCAATAAAGGTACTTATTTTCTTTGTTGCTCGCTGCCTCCGCCTCTTTTGCTCTTCCAGACAACGCTCTCTCACGCTGTGTGACATTCAACACAGACAAGAACATGAATCATAATATCAGGTAACAGGTTTTAATGGCTTTACTTATGGAATGATGGAAAACAATCTTTCCAGTATCTGTTATGATCACGTAAGCCAATACCAGGTGCACTGCATTTCTCTGGGACAATATCAAGCATTAATGCATTGTCTGACCACCTTACCCTCCAAAAGCAGTTACTGAGAAATACAGGATTGTATATTTATGTGCACACACCCCCATTGTATCAATTGATCTATAGTCATATTGGTGGAATTCAGCCTTGAAGTCAGTTGGCAGGTCCTTTTTGAATTACTCTAAGCAGTATTTGCAGATCAGAGTTTGCCTCATGATATTGAGAGATTTGGAAAATAACCATTTGGGGATGGGCAGCATGCTGCTTCCCTAGAAACAGCAATTCCAACACCACTACCTTAGGGAGGAGAAACTTCCCAGCAAGATAAGAAATAAACCACAAAAAAATCATAATGGGAAAACACATGCTCTGGACTTTCAGATTGCTCCAATACTGGAGCAATCACTGTATCCCATGTATCCCATATCCCATGTGAACTGTGTGTCCATAAATATTCCATCAACCTGTGCAGCTTCGTGCTGCTGCCATGCTGAATGTTTTGCAAAGCTGAGAATTGCATAATAAATTCACAACACTGTGATGTCCTTACTTCTCACCTCAAACCAGCCCTGTTTCCAGCTAGACAGACACAAATTAGTCCCACCCCGTGTTTCTTCCTCGGACTAGAGCTTGTCCTTTGGGTTTCCTGTTGGTGGTCTCAGCAGGCCACCAGGGAGCTGCTAACTCCTTTGGTGTGCCAGCAAGGTGGTGGGACCATGGGGTTGAGGCCTTGCTGTCACTGCAAAAAATCTCCTTTGAAACCAGCACATTTTCTTGTCAAGAGAGTTATTAATGTGAAATCTCATCCTCTTCCTTTACCTGGTTGAGTGACTCCTGTGCTCGCTGTGCTTTGTGAGGGAAGGGGACAAGTTACTCCCTGCTCCAGGCAGGTAGATTGGATGGGTTGTATGTCCCAGAGTGCCAGGATCATCTGTACCTGAATAAATCCCTTTGGAAAGGGCAAAATCAAAGCCAGACTGCCATCCTGAATGCTCTCTATGCGCATTATGGTGCCATGTGTTGACTCACTGCACAGATCTCATGGTGACGCAATTCAGGCAAACTGAAGGGACTGGACCGTGTCCCATGTCTATACATATAATTTTTAAAAACTGCTTGGCATTGGCCTCTCTTTTTTATTGTAACTTTGTAATTGATGACTCACTCTCAGGCTCCACACTCTCATGTGTTCGTAGCTGAGGCTTAGGGCCATACACTCACATTATTTGCTGTATCTGCAAATGTTTTATCATCATCTAAACACGTTATGTCCTGAGGATCTCACTGTGCATTGGTGATCTCTGTGTTAATGAGTTCTTATGTTGCCTTTCCACTGTGTAAAAGAAAATGTGTTTCCTTTGTTCCATTCTATGTTTGGTCTTACGTTGCCAGTCCCCAGAACAGCTATCATGACATGGTGAAATAAATACTGGAGGAAAAGTTTGTTCTCCTTGAAGTGACAAATCATCTTTCTCTCAAAGAGCATGCCACATCTAAAAGCATTGCATGTTCTGTGCCTGAGTTATTTGCAGCTAGAAATGACAGCTGAGAAGAAAAAGAAAATCCACATTTTCAAGGGAACCTGTGGTCTTTCAATTCTACAAGAGATGGAGAACTTGGAGTATTTTTAGGTGCAGACAGATTATCTTAGAGGTTCAACAGCTTCATTTAAGACCTGTGTTATTTAATTCATAGTATCCCAAGGCCACAGAAATATGGGAAAGTGTATCTCCAAAGCAGGTTCAATTAGGGTGTTCTAAGGGTGGAGAGGGTGTGTAATTTTTGTCTCTAACAGTTTCCCCAGTTACATCTTTTCCTTACTGGCACATACCAAGCTGTCTCTGACTCCTGTAGCTCACACGCGACTGTCCTGATACGCTTAATCCAATTTCTTTTGTTCAGCCTTTCCAGATGTAGCCAATAAATACCACAGCACAGATGAAGGTATTTTATCTCACTCCTTCATATAGACAATGTACAGACGAGTATTTTGCTCTTGCACACACTTCCATGCACTAAGATAAGAACACATATGCAAGTTCCAGTAGTGACACCAGTAACAGAATGGGATTATTGACTAAGCTTTCATTAAAGATTTTACTATCCTGGAAAATCTAAGCTATATCCCCTTGAAGGGATATATTTATTTTAAATAAAGTTTATGAGATACTGGACCTTAAGATGTGCAGAGCTGGATACACCAAAAAGATTGTGGAGATAATTTGAGCAAAGAAATACACGGGCTAAACACTTAAGTGTAGTTTTGCCTAAATCTCTCACAATTCCTAAGATATTTTGGTCTTAAGAACAAAGTCAAGAAAAAGCAAGATCCACTAGAAATGCCTAAGCTAACTTGAAAAAACATGTGCCCTAAACATTCACATGAATTTGTATGGTATTTAGAGGTTTCCTTTGTAATCATCTTGAATGATCCTCAGGAGGTCACTCGTGTCTTTCTAAGTCACAGGTAATGAAGCCATCTGTCATAATGCCTGTCACTAGATCCCCTTGTGGGTGGATTCTGAATCATAGGAAGCAGAAAATTGTCTGTACACATTTCTCAGCGTTGAAACTAGACCCTGGGAAGAGCTGGAGGAGTCAGGGTAGTCTAAGCTGAGATTGCAAACTTTGTTCTCTTGTGTGAGTTCTCCCAGCATCCATGTCCATGGTGTCAGGTACACACTGAAATTGCCTGTTTATTCACACTAATATAAGGCAAACGATGCCTTTGTTGTGTCAGAGCTTCATGAGCATCACTGACTGCTCCAGGAGAGCTGCAGCCTCTGTGCAGCTCTCACAGGAGGGGAGGTGACCTGAGAGCTGACCCTTTCAGCAGCAGGAGCTGTCACCGGTAAGGCAGCACCTCCACGGGTCAAATCAACCACCAATTCTGTAACCTAGAAAGGAAGCTCAAACTCTCCTTTCTTAGAGAGAAGGATTAGAATAACCTGATGTGAGAGGTAAGAGTTGTTGGTGCAGGTTACTCACAGCAAAGTGTCTGTACAACTCTGTCTCCTCTGAAGAAAGGAAGCATCATTCCCACAGCCCCACTGAATCCATTCCTCAGTGAGATGATTAGAAAATGCACAAAGAGCCTCAAATTAACCTAGACCATACAAAATGCAGAGGAGGAGAAATAACATTGAGACTTTTGCCCTTTTTCTAAACTTTACTGTGCAGTCCAGACATACTTGAGGCATTAGGCTAAACAAATGCTGTTTCAAACAGCCCCAGAGGGTTTATGGCATTGTCCTGGGAGTAACCACCACATGTCTTGGTGCAGGAACTAAGACAGTTGAGGCACAGTTTATCAACCAGACAGCACATAGGACAGAAGGGTGTTTTTTCCTCAATTTGACTTAGTGAATAAGGGAAGATTTATACCTGTATTTCTCAAGAACAGCAACAAGCCTTGCCCAAAGTTCTGCTCTGCATTCTTGATCAAGAGACAGCTCAAAGAGCTTAAGTGGAGAATTTTGAGCAAATGCTTCTGTTCTTCTAACAGTGTGCTGTCCTGCCCTGATTCTTTCAGACTTATTTGCCTTAGCCTCAGGAATCCCCAAAACTTGACCTGTTTTTGACGACAGCCACATGTGCTCTGAGCCCTGCAGCTCTGCTCCTGGCTGGCTGCAAATGGAGAGAGCCGGTGTTCGCCTCCAGCTTGTGGGGCACAGGGGAGCAAGGGAGGTCAGATGGGATGTCTGGCATGGGACTGCCCTCTCTGCTTTCCTGTCTTCCAGGCAGACTTCTCCCCTCATATCAGACACCAAGCCTGCATCCCTTCCAGATCCATACATTGCCTATTCATGCAAGATTTATAATGTAATCCCTGATGTGACTTTTGCTCAGCATCCCAGCACGCATTCCTTCCCGTTCGGTGCTTGCCTTCAAGCCCACTATCCTTCCAGCCCCTGGAGGCTCTGCTCCTCCTGTGTCTATGTACGGGGGGCTTGCCTAAAGTCTCTCATTTGAAATGTACTTTATACATCCATTTTTTGTCATATTAACACTACTGCTGAATTCTCTCTTACTTAAATTTAAATATAGGCATTCAAGCGCACGCATTTTGCAGATGTTATTCCCTTAGGATTCCGCCTTCAGGAATGATAAAGTTAGAGAGAGCACAGCAGTAGGGAAACTGCTGAGCAAAGGAGCTGCAGGCAGCGCCCAGCTTCCCTTCCAAACTCCAACTGAAGGGACAGGTGCAGCCTCCTCCCTCAGGAATCCAGCAACGATTTGGGCTGACAGTGCCAAAAATGCAAACCTATCAACCACTAAATCCACCTTCAGAGACAAAGGGCAGGGATGTGATCACTGTCTCAAAGGGAAGTGCATTTTCAGCTAAAACCTCCCCTTTCTTTGCCCTCCCTCCCAAAACAAGTCTTTAAGCCTAACAAACAGAAAATGAGTTCTATAATCAGAGAAATAAACTCGAGTAAAAAGAAACACGCAGAATAGAAACCATCAGGGAGGATGGTTGTTTTTAGCCCTCCCCATCCCTTGCTCTGATACAGATCAGACTGTTTTAACATAACACTGAACCCCCTCCTCACTTCTCCTGCCATGAATAGTCCCACTTGCTGAACACGCAGACACCTTACCTGGGATGGATGTCCACAAGCAGCACCAGGGTCTGCATAGTGATCACGTCAATCCGCTTACAGTGAAACCGTGCCACCTTCAGCACTTTTAGATATGTGAAACACAGGATTATAAGTGAGAGGAGGAAGCTGAGAGCGTGAAAGACCCCAGTGAAAATCATAAACTGTGTCCTGTCTTCTGGTCTCTTGTTGTACAGGGTGCAGGAGGCATAGAGATGATGGAAACCCACCCAGGAGAGAGAAGCTGCCACTATCGGGAACGACACCGAGTGCAACCACGTGTAGCTCAGTATGAGAGCAGCATCTCTGTACCTCATTTTGGAGTGATAACTTAGAGGGAAGACCACAGCGATCCACCTGTCAATGCTCAAAGCTGCCATGCTCAACATGGAATTCGTGGTGAGAAAAGTCTCCAGGAAGCCCACAGCTTGGCAGATCGGATCTCCTCCTGGTTGACTCTTGTAAATGATCCCGGCCAAGGTCAGGGGCATGCTGGAAACAGCCATCAACAGGTTGCAGAAGGTGAGGTTGAGGATGAACAATCCCGGGACCTGCTTGCGGATGTCGGCGCTGTACAGGAAGCACAGCAGCACCAGCACGTTGGCCAGCAGGGCCACGAGCATCAGCACCACCACCACGAAAGCCAGGATCAGCTCCCAGATGCTCATGGTGCGTCCAGTCACAGGAGAGACATCTCCGAAACTGCGCCGCGCCGGCACCGGGGGAACATGGTGCGAGGTGCGCCCGCCTCGCCCTCCTCCCCAGCCTGCTCGCTCCCTCGCATGCCCTCCGTGTTTTTAGAGGAGCTGCAGTTTTTTCCTCCAACCTCCCCCTCCTCGCTGCTCCCTTCCACGTCAACGCTTTCCGAGACGTGCACAAAAGCACTGGGAATGCCCATCAAACTGCGAGGAGGGCTTAAAAAATATCAGCAGGACTGAACCACTGTCTCCATTCGGTCCATTTGAAGGAGAGCACGTTATTCTGAGAAACTGCTCTCCTGAGATCCCTAATTATCAGCCCCAAGCTTGCAAGCAATTCACCGAGTGAATTGTTCTCTCTTTCTGCCTTGCTTTCTGTCTCTCTCTCTCTCTCTCTTCCTCTCCCCTCCCCGTCTCCTCCAACCCTCACTCCCTCCCAGGCTGAATGTAACCTGCTTTTTATGATCACAGATAAAAACCCCATTAATGGATTAAAGCATGCACACTGCTGGTGATTCGCAAACGTGATTATGTCATCCCTGCTCCACAACCCCTCCCCTTCTCCTTGCGACTGTGCCCAGACTTTCCTCAAGAGAAATCCCATGCTTTCATTTAATTGATTTAGCCATTAATTTGCAAACAGCCCTGTAACCGAATTCCTGCACTCCAGTGTGTTTCCTACATTTCTGTGCATCACTTGCAGTGTTGCTGCTTGCTCTCAGCCAGAGCAGGGACTTTCTTTTCTCTTCACTAACTGTGCTTAAAGAGATGTGGAAAAAATGGATATATTCTGCTACTTCTCTGGAGCTGTCATTAGGCAACCGGAATAGTTTTCCTGCTCTACTTTAGCACTTTGCAGTCCTATGTCTCCAAGCCTGATGCGTAGGAGGAAAATGATTGCCTTCCCATCTCCTTTAAAAGGAAGGAAATGAAAGCCCAGATGCCTCTGCCACATGCCCAAGGTGACAGAGCAGGTGAGTGCTAGAGGCAGCATCGTGCTGCAGGTACCACACTATTCAGTTGGGCTTTTCTCCTCTTCAACAGTTTTTGCTTTGTCCTAATCAAAGCCTCCCTCCCTGTGAGGGTGAGCACCACTTCTTCAAAACCAAGAAGCAGCTTGGCAAAGGAAATAGGAAAGAGTCTGTATTGTACATAATTAGGTGATAAAATTAAGTTTTTTTTAAAGGATGGAGAGGGAGCTGTTTCCTGATTGCCTTTCCTGTCTCTTTAAATCAGTTTTAACTGGGAATGCTGAGAGTTTGCAAGCAATCAGGACAGCTTTCTCATCAAGGCAGCCAAGCCTTAACCCCTACACAATAAGAAAGCAAAAGATACCCTGCAGCACAGTTACTGGGGCTTAGTAAGTGCTTGTGCACGTGTGTGAGAGCTCTCTGCTCGGGCGGATTTTCCCTCTGTGCCCAAAGCAGCTTTTCCCTCTGTGCCCTGCCAGAGCCATGTGTCTCCACGTACAGCAGCTGTTCCCTGCAGCCACTCGGGATCATGGCTCAGGAGCTGTCACCCTGCACACTGTCAGGGCTTTGCATGCTGTAGGAAAGCCCCTTTTCTTTCACTTCAGATTTGTCCTGTTTTCTTAAACCAGGCTTTAAAGGGCTAATGGAGTCATCAAAGACAGCTGAGACTCCCCAGGACAGTGTGTGTTCGCAGGTCCTACACACACACACACACTCAGCAGGGAAGGAGCAGCTCAGGGTGCAGAGCCCGGGTCTGTTGTGAGCCCTGTGAGCTCCCTGTCTCCAGAACACAAGTACATGTCCTCATACCATGTGGATGATGTGCAGGACTACAGTGTCAGCCTCTTCTCCTGAACCAGTGATCCAAAGCCACTTGAAGTTGTGGAGTCACCATCCCTGGAAGTGTTCAAAAAATGTGTGCATGAAGCACTTGAGGACATAGTTTAGTGGTGAACATGGTGATGGTGCTGGTTTGATGGCTGGACTTGATGGTCTTAGAGGTCTTTTCCTACCTTTGTGGTTCTATGAGAAAAGCCTAAATGTGACTCCTTCTTTGAAAAAGGTGGGTCTTTACCCTCTTAGAAGAGGTAGGCTAAGGAGATGAGAGAGAAGATGAAGGCTTTGCTTCAGGGCAAAGATTATTGGTGGACATACCTTGAAGGGCAAGAGAGGCTGGCAGAACTGTGAACTGTCTTTGCTGGGTCTCTTTACCAGTGAGTGAGAAAGCATACGAGAGTGGACAGCTGCAAGACAGGCAAGAGGAGACTCAGAATATGCTTGGTGTTGTCTCTGAACTCCTTTTTCCAAGACCCTCTCTCCCCTCTCTCCACCTGCCCCCTTTTCCTCCAGACTTTATTAGGGTGTTACTACTTTTCACATTGGCGTGGAAAAGCCAAATTAAAGCAGCAAGTTCGATGTATACTTCAGTAATTGGCCTAAATGAATGATGTGTGTGTCCTGTGCCCCACAGTTCAACAATTGATTTTCTACATTCTATTCTATTTTATTCCATTCCATTCCATTCCATTCCATTCCATTCCATTCCATTCCATTCCATTCCATTCTTGTATCAAGCTCGTCTGTGTTGTACAAGTTTCTCGGGTAAAGAAAACATTATTATCAATAAGGTTAAACTCCCAGTGTTTACGGGGAAAATGTAAAAACTGATATGAACTTAAATCTACAATCAACCTAGAAGTCTTTTCCAAACTGTATTTCTATGATTTAATGAAATAATCATCATCATCAAGCTTTCTAGATTTCAGGAGAAAGCTGAAGTTTGCTTTTGGTGACTGATCTGAGTTTCTGTATGTATTTCCAACTCTTGAAGGCCCAATTAATTTACATAAGTGATTCCCCTCCTGGTAATCCCTGCAGCAAAGGATGTTTACTAAATGCCTCTGGGGTTTTTTTATGATGAATACCCAAGGGAGCAGGATGGACCCATCAAATATCTTCATTTTATACATATCAGGAGGAAAAAATGTGCTGTGCATATGCCAAGGGTTAACCCCAGCTGGCAACTAAGCACTACACAGGCACTCACCCTCCCCTGGGGGATAGAGTCATGGGATAGAATCATAGGATAAAATCACAGAATTGTTTAAGTTGGAAAAGACCTCTTAGACCACCGAGTCCAAGGAAGCTCTTTGAGCACTCATATGAGTCAACTTTGGTCTGTCTTCAGCCCAGTACCGTGCAAAACCTTGGTGGAGAGAGAAGCCACAGCTCTGTCCCTCTCAGGGCCTGACAAGTCTGGTGTCATGGTGCAGATGTAACCTTTACAACTTCACTGTCACCTTCACTGATCAAAGATCATTTTTCTTCAGCCCCTCCTCTTCCTAGCCCCGCATAACCAGCGTCACCCAGGGGCAGTGTTCAGAGCCGAGCTGGACAAGGCCTTGAGCAACCTGGTCTAGTGCGAGGTGTTCCTGCCCACAGCAGGGGAGTTGGGACTGGATGATCTTTAAAGTCCCTTCCAACCCCTTAAAATTCTGATTCTGTGATTCTTGCCTGGCTCCTTACTCTCCAACAGGTGCTGTGTGTTCCACACGGGGAATGCTGCAGGTACACTTTGGTTAACTGGGGCCAGCCAGATGGTTTCTCATGGCCCACCACTTTGGGGAAGCAGGGAGAGAACCCCTCCAGTGCTTCACCACACAGTCCTTGTGCTGTGAGCACCACAGCAGCTCCAGCAGCTGCTCACCAGAGCCCTCCTGGTGAATTATTCACACTCGGGCTGTCACTGCTACTTTGCTTCATGGAATTAAAGAAACATCAGGTCCGGAGGCACATGGCTGATGCTTCTGGCACTTCTGCTTAATGGATGGATATTTAAGGACTCTTAGGGCAGCTAAGGAAATCAAATCAAGCCAGGAGCAGCAGAAAGCCATGGGAACCTTTGAGACAGGGAGCTTTGTGGGTGGATGTGTGTGTAGGTGGAAGGCTCAGCTCTCCCTTTCCCTGGGCTGCTTCGGAGCCAGGTGAAAGCTTCCTTCTCGGATTAGTGGATGAGCAAGCTCAGTCACTTGGTGCCAACAGGAGAGTATCTTGGTCTCTCTGTGTTATTCCTGCAAATGAAGGAAGTTAAGTGACATGTTCCAGCACGGGGTTTGGTTCACAATTTATATTTTAGAATCACTCCATATCAGCACCATCAGTGATGCAGATATTGAGTCACACTTCATCTGCCTATGGAACTATGTTAGAACAGCATCCTTTTAAAGGAGAGAGTGCGTGGATGTACCTGCTTTATTTGCTTTACCTAAAAAGACAAAAAGGAGGGCTCAAAATAGAGTTTGGTCAATAGATTTTAAGTTCACTTCCATTTCTCACAAAAAATATGTTTATTAACACAGAAAATTTATTTACATTTCAATTTGTAAAGATCTAGGAGACTTATAGTTTGGTTTTCTGCTTTTTTTTTTTGTTCTCAACCTATTTTTAATCCTCATCTCTTTCTTAAAACTAATGAATAAAAGAGTAACCGATCTGAAAATCAACACTGAAGGATCTTGAAGAGCTCAAATCAAACAAACAAAAATTCATCATATTTAAATTAGAATTAAATTAATATATCCATAATATTGCAGCCTGTGGAATAATATCATTACTTTCAGAGAGGGAAATTAAATTTTTCCATCAGCACTTTCACCATTCATCTTCTTGCAGACATGTCTGCAGGGGTTAGAATTATTCAACACTCCCCAACACCCTTTATGACCCAAACCCCAGAAAGTATTTCTAGAAAGGATGATTTCCAGCCTCCAGGAACTGTTGAAATACTATCCTAGGATTAGAGACGGTTTGGGTTGGAAGGGACCTTAAGGAACATTGTTCCACCTCCCTGCAATGGGCAGGGACACCTTCTACTAGACCAGGTTGCTCCCATCCAACCTGGCCTTGAACACTTCCAGGGATGAGAGATCCTCAAATTCTCTGGGCAACCTGTGCCAGTATCTCATCACTTTGACTATCTAGTGTGCCTCTTGCACCAGCTGAAAGAGAATCACCTTTGCAAAATTGGGAAAGAGTAATTCATGCATTTTAAATCTACCCAGAGCATGTCATCGTCATCTGCAAGATGCAGAAGCATTCTGATGCTACTCACATGAAAACACATCAATCAAATATTACCTGAATTTTAAGAACTCTTATCATCGCCCTGAGTTGCTTTCATGTTTTCCCATCCATGAGATGAGAGCAAACTGGTGTGTGCCTACAAGGGGCTCCATGGGCACCCCCGAGTGCTTCTCCCACGAGGAGACATAATGAGGACCTATCAAATATTGGGCCTTTCTTCACAAGAGCTCAGCTGTCACGACTGATGGTGATGACCTTTAGTTTTTCCAGGCTTGCCAGGAGGATGTGGTCCCTTGAGGATTGATGTGGTAACCTGAGCTTTGCTTTGCCATGGGAAGGTTGTA